TTTGTAGCCCAGGCTGGCCTCGAACTCACAGTGACCCTCCTGACTCAGCCTCCCGAATGCTGGGATTACAGGCGTTTGCCACCATGCCCCACCTATATGTAAATGTTTAACATATGCAATTTTTTTTTTTTTTTTTTGCTCCCCATCTTGCTTTTTAAAAATCTTGGTTGCTTCAACACAAAGGAAGGCGGCCCAGGATTTCCCCACGGGGGCGGGGGAGGGAGGGGAGCTCTGGGTTGTCAGGCACTCAGAGATCTGGCTTTGAGTTCCAGCTCTGAAGACACCTGTGGGCCACTGGGATCAACCTTTAACCTCTGCAGGCTGCAACACTCATTTCCGTAACACACACGAACACCCTCTCTAAAGTACTTTTCCAGAGTGAAGCTATGGACTGTTCTAGCAAGGCTGAGGCCCACTGGTAGGCTGGGGATGAGAGCGCTTGCCTGGTAGGCAGGAAACAGTGGGTTCCATCCCTAGTAACTCTATTTTTGTGATCACCTCGTTTTCTTTTTTACACATATGAGCCTAATTAAACATTCTTCGTTTTGATAAACTGTTTGAAATTTTATTTAGTTTTTGTCTTTTTGAGACAGGGTCTTGCTATGCAGTTTAGGCTCACTTTGTAGCCCAGGCTAGTCTCGAACTTGCAACAATCCTCCTGCCTCAGCCTCCCAAGCGCTGGGATTACAGGTGTGTGCCACCACGCCCGGCTCACTGATGAAGCAAATTCAACTTTGAAACAGTTTGCTTGTAGCACAAGAAGGTGCTGTCAGTTTAAATGTGAACCTATTCATGAAGACCACTGCAAAACTGGGAGTAAATACACTCCAGCATTCTTTTAAATGACTTTAGCTTAAATATCCTAAAATTCACTGGCTTCCTTATTTTCAAATCTTTAGCTTCTAAATTCCTGATAGGCATTAGGTAGGTAAATACTTTGAAAATTATTCTGCTAGTCAACTACATATGCTGTAATTTACCTTTGTTTCGTTCTTATTTTGTGAGACAGTCTTATTTTGTAGTTGAGGCTGGCCTCGAACTTGCAGCGATCCTCCTGCCTCAGCCTCTGGAGTGCTGGGATTACAGGTCTGAACGACCAGGACCAACTTTATTCTTCCTGTTGAGTGGTAAATGAGCTCACACTGTAATTACAAAGTAGTTGGTTTCCAGATTTTATCTTCTGTTTGCCTGCCTGCCTATCCATCCATCCATTACGTTAGGAAAGATTTGTTTTTACAGCGCTGCGGATTGAACCCACGTGCTTGGCAAACGCTCTACCACTTGAGCTGAATCTCCAGCTCTCTACTGGTTAATTCTATTATATTCAAGGACATATCTTTCCTTTGTTATTTTTTTCCAACCAGCCCACACACAACGACAAATGCGTGTGAGAGCTTTTAACAGGTGCTGTCTGGAATCAGAAGACCCACATCCTGATGCAACTCTACTACTCTACTCCGGGGAAGGGGGGCTGCTGACCACGCCCCTCAATTGTCCAAACATCAGCGATGCCGTTCCTAAAATAAAGCGGTTGAAGCAAGAGTTCCAAAGCCACGCAGACGCACTGCCGAATCAGTATTTTCCTGCTCTTCTCTCTGAACACGCACTAGTTTATGTTTGTGAATCCTGGCAAGGAAGAGTCAGTGCGCGCAGGTGACTGGCCACGCGGGGAGTGCAGCGAATGAGTGCGGGCCATGCGCGAGAGTGGGGAGGAAGCGCCACTACGGGAACGAGGTGTGTGCTTTCGTGATCACACTGCCTTGAAGCAGATGGGACTCAGCGCAGCTTGGAGGCTTTGCTGGAGAGAAATGCTCTTCCCCTCGAATCCCGCGTCTACCGCACTCCTCCTCCATCCTCTCAAGTTGCAGGGTGCTGGGGTTTGAAGCCAGGGCCTCATTTTTTTTTTTTTTTTTTTTTTATGAACTCAGGACCTTGCACTTGCCAGGCAGGTGCTTGTGCCACTGAGCTACACCCCTGGCCAAGCCAGGACCTCATGCATGTTAAGCGTGAGCTCCACCATGGAGCTCCACTCCAGCCTCACACTTCGCCATGAATTAGTAATACAAGCTAATGCAGAAAATGTGAAAAAAAAAATAGGAAAATGAGAATTATCTATCTTACCACCTAGGAAGGATTAACATTTAGAATTCTATTTCTCTTAACCTTCTACTGCATCTTTCAAAGTAGTTTTATATCCGTAGCATAATTCCCCCTTCTCACTTTTCCCAATTTTTAATCATTGCATATTTGTCTATCGAAAGGGTGTAACATAATTTACCTCTTTAGAGCCTGGCCAGTTTTTCATTAGTGAAAATGAACATCTCTGTAGTTTATTGAGTCACTTCCCTATGCTACTATATCATCAGTTCACAACTTACAATCTTTGTAAAGATTCTAGTACCAGTATTTCCAGGAAGCTTTCAATGTAATTCTCCCATAGAAGGCAAAGTGCCCCTCACTAAATCTTGGTACAGTACTATATTTTATTCAAAAAAGAAATCACCAATTATTAGGTGAAATGGCCCTATTAGTTTTTAAATGTTTCTTTTTTATGTTACTGGTTGGGCATCTTTACTCTTTCCCTCTTTAAAAAAATCTTTTAAGTGTTACTGAATAGATATATATTTGGAGTTGTTAGTTTTATTATTTGCCTGTTGTTCTTTCCTCTTTTAGTTTTTCTTATTTGTGAGTTAAGAGAATTTTTTTCTTTTTCTTTTAGAAGTGAAATCCAGGCTCAATTTACCTGGTTAAATTCTTTAAATGTACATAAAGGGAAAATGGAGGGTTTAATGTCTAGGTTTCTCATGTAGATCTGTGTTTCACACAGTAATAAAAAGAGTAACTTGCTTCACTTTGAAGCGGCACAGCGCTTGCCTGGCAAGCACAAGGTCCTGAGTTCAATTTCCGGTAACAAACTATAACCACGCAGAAGTAAAGAAAAAAAAAAAAAGGAAACAGTAGCTCTTGCAATCAATCATTTATCACAAAATGAACAATTTCAATTTTTAAAGATACAAGTGCTTTTCTTCACACTTAAATATGAGTAAACAGAATTTTATTCAAACTTTACAAATATCATTTACAGTTAGCCTGAGATTAATGAAGCATGGAAAAGTTCGACCTGGTTAGACTTCACTGCCCAAATGGGTTAGCATCTGCACACAAAGCCAAGAATGAAATGGTCACCGAACACAAAGCATTCCAATGAACCGGCACGGTGGACAGCACTGCAAACTGAAGTCTAGTCTGCTCTGCTCCCACCTCATCTATTTTCTTCTTTCCCCTGCTGGGGACAGAACCCAGGGCCTTGCAGAGGTCAGGCAAACCCTCTCCACTGACCTGCACCCCCAGCCCTCACATGAGCTTAGAGCTTAAAAATACCTACCTTCAAAAAATAACAACTAAAAGACCTGCAGGTGACACATTTATGAAAATGTGTCTGGGTGTAGGATTTTTTTTTTTTTCCGGTACTGGGAATCGAACTCATGACCTCACGCTTGCCAGGCAGGCCCTGTGCCACTGAGCTACATCCCTAGCCCCTGGGTGTAGGATTTTAGTTCAATATTTCTAAAGCAGCTGCTTTTGGTGAGTATTAAGAAAACAACTCCCTCTTTACTGTTCAATATGTACTTGAAAACATGCGGCAGCATGGTCGTTTATTAAGTTTATAAATATCAGTAGCTGTAATAAAATATAAAATACAGAGGATCTCTTTGTCAAATAGGAAGTCTTTGAATGCTTCACTCATCCTTTGGTTCAAAACCCACGCAGCACACTCACATGACACGGCACACGGAGCAGGAGACGGTGCCCCGTCCGCCCGCGGGGAGGGGCGCCGGGAATGCCGCAGCTGCTCGCTCGCTGTACAAAGTAAACACGGAAGCAAAAATACTTTCTGCATATACACTGTACACTATGTAAACAGACATTCGGAGTAAGAATCAACACAGGTCAAAATATTGTTTTCTAGAAACCAGAATCTTCTTCCTTCAGTCACACACACTGAGGACGCTTTTTGTTGAGGATGGAGCCTGTCCCTGTATTTGCTTGTGTGCTTAGGTATCTTGGAAACAAGTAATGAATACATTCATTTGCTAACAGTTTGTTCTCTGCCTAGTTGGCTGGTTGCGGCAAACAAGGAATACAGAACTATTTCAGTCCCTATTTTTCATTGAACACTAGTTAAATCTTATGTAAATATTTCACTTTTTGATCCATATTTGTAACATGAATAGATGAGGTGAAGCAGTGAATTTCAAAATTTGTGCAGGGGAAACCAGTTGACAGTTTGTTTCCAATAAGGCTAGTACCAAAATAGTCACTACAAAGCCAGTCCAAGCTAGCAGTAAACCCCTGATTTAGCAGGCTGAGTCCAAGTTTGAAGTTAGGTAATTCTAATTCCTATATTACTGTGCAAATCTAGAATTTCCTATGTTAAAGAGAGTGCTGGCAGCATCAAAGCCCTGTAGTAGGAAAGTGAAATACTGATCAGGTTCTGAAATGCAGAGAATTCATACGAAGAAATTTAGACGTCTTAATGGCGGTACCATAGCAATGGCCTCAGACTTCCCTTAATGAATCAGAAACTAAGACAATTCATTAGTCAACGATGTTCTGAGTCAAAAGCCTAAATGTGAAGCAAGTGCTAAGCGCACAAAATCAAAGGCGCATTTTCTACTATGATTGTATGCAAGAATTTCATGTTTTAGGCCAACATTCTGTACCAGCAGCAGCTCTCTCTAAAGGAAAAGGCTTAGTCATGATTGTCCATCCCTTTTCAGAGCTTCCAGTCTCTGCAGGAGCGCATTTCCAAATGCTTCCCGGTAGGCTGGGCTGAGCGTGTCCAGTAACGAGTAGACGGTTTCATGGTAGGGCATCTGCAGATGCTCCTCTACCTGGTCGAAGGCGTGCCCCACCACCTGTGCGGGAGGAACATGACAGTGAGCCCGCATCCTCAGCCGGAGTGCCACAGGCACACCTCCCACCGCCTCATAGCTACGTAATTTCTCTGATATACCAACGCCACCAGCAAAGTGCTCTCTGTAGAATTCTTTTTTCAAGATTTAAGAGGTTTGATTTACCCATTTCTAAAAGCTCTTAAAAACCAAGAGAAAGAAATGTAAAATTTACACAAAAAGAGTATCTCATTTTCCAATTCCAAAACATACTTCCATTTTTTTATCCTATTTAATTATATATGCATTGAGGTTCGACTATATTAAGGTGCTATAATAGGTAATATAATATTATAATAAGGTGCTATAATAGGTAATATAATATATAGTACTTTTATCAGTACTTAGACCCCTCTCATAAGGAATTCTACTAATTATTCCTGGAAATTTAGCTTTAACAATTAGTTTTAATAGGTAACAGTTTTGTTTATATTTAATAATTAGTTTATTAGTTTTAGTAACTAAACTTTATAATTAGTAATGTTAAAGGCCACTTTCACCTAATACTAACAAATGCTCAATCTATGACATAGAGGAAATATTACTCTTGTGATTCTTTTTTCCCTTTAAACATAACTTAAGCTTTTATTTCTAACAAGATTGTAAGATATACCATGGTTCACCAGTACAGTCCAGGGCAAAATTAATTTAGTTTTTGTTGACTTGACTAAAGCTTGCAAACCTCCTGTAGAAATTCTACATTTTAATGACTACCTATTTTTTTCTGGTATTGGGGACTGAACCCAGGGCCTTGCACACGCTATGCAGGCGCTTTACCGCTGGGCTATGGCCCCCATCCAATGACTTCTATTTAAGCCACCGAACATCCAAGTTCATGTTAGAAATAGAAGCTGAGTCCTTCTTTTTAAATGAAAAGCGGAGGCAGACACCTAAGGAACACGCGTCCACCTCTTCAGATCCATGCTGCTCCAGCCCACTTCTGTGCAGGACACTTCTGTCTGGCCCTCTCTTTTCCCTGCCACTGTGATCTTCCTGGTGGACAGCGATCACATCTTAGTCATGGCTTCACTTCCAACTGCTGACACAGGACAGCTGCTCAATAAATGTTAAGTCACTCAGACTGCAAGACAAACGTTTGAGTAGCTATTACACGCCAGGTCTGATGGCTGACCCAAGTCTTTTTAGATAATTTATTTCTACAATCATCCCCCAAATCCATTTTAGTTTCTCAGTTCCAAGTGATAAAGAAGCAGGCACTCAGAGACTGACTCACCTAAGCTCACTTCCATTTCAGATTTCTGACTACCAGAACCCAGCCACTGAGAGTTAACCAGTGTAAGGCAGAATAATGACCTTAGTCACTTATTTTCCTGTTTCTATTTAAGATACCCTACAGCTTTTAGTACAAAGTAGGAGTTTCTGAAAGTCCTAAAGCTACACAGCTACCTCAGTGGCCACCATGAGGGACTGGGAGCAGTGAAGACACTGGCTTTAGATCCGCTTTTTCAAAGAGCACACAGCCCCTACGACTCATCTGGAGTAAAGGGAATCCAGCGAAATGAGGCATTTGTTTAACATAATAGTATGCGATGTTTTTACTTACTTAGGCCTTGCTCTTTACCTTATGATTATTTGCACAAAGAAGAGTCATGAATCTTTGACCAACACTGAAAAGTGGTAAGTCAAAATGATGTTCTAATAGCTATCCCTTTGTCAGTATGTTCTTCATAATGTGCGGTTTTTTTCCTTTTTAAAGTTGCTCACAGGTGTTTTTTTTTTTTTTTTTGGTGGTGTTATTATTATAAGCTGAGGTTCTGGTTTAAAGGTTGTGCAAAGGCCACTCTGCCTAGAGCAGCTCACCTGTAGTTAGAAATACCCGAAAAAAGGGCTGAGGGGTACTGCTGGAAGTCTCCGGGTACAATGTTCTGCTCCGATTTAATTCTTCTCTGAGAGCTGGAAAACTGAAGCCATGTATGTATCTTGTTTTAACTGAGAACACAATTGTGCAGTGCGAGGTGGACAAAGATTCTGCGACCACAATGACTGTGAAACTCACTGACTGCAGAGAACATAATTTTGGTGGACGCATTTGGCTACAGATGAGAAATTTTGTGGGTGATGATTAAAGCACATAACAACTTGCAAATAGGGTTTTTTTTTTTTGTCTGAAAAACGTCAATTTCCCCATGCTGATCAAAAGACTTCAAAATTAACAAAAACCACATAGGCATGATGGTACATGCATGTAACCCCAGGACTTGGGAGGCTGAGGCCTGAGAGTCATGGCAAATTTGAGGCTAGCCTGGACTACAGTGAGACCCTGTCATACACCCCAAATTAACAAAAACTTCCAAGGAAAGTTTTAATTAAATTTTAGAAGCTCCCCAATATCCAGTTTTTATTTAAGACCCAAGTACCCCCACTCTCCCCCCCTTTAGGCAAAGTGGCAGAAATTTCATTTTCCTACGAAGAAAAGTGAGTTACCCGAAGCCCTGCTTCCGTGAGCTCCAGGCAGTATCTGCTCCTTTCCTTAGTCTCCACGTTGATGTAGGCCACATCATCTGCACAGCGCAGGCTTTTTGACACAAACATGTTCTTGACGGCAAAGAGAACATCGTTTACCACGGCTTCAGCTTCGAGTCTCATGTCTTTCACATCGGTTCCTTCGAAACCATTGAGCTCTGAGCCTTCTTCAAATCCTGACATATTGCTTAGCTCCATGGGATTACAGTCTGTTTCCATTCTGCAAAAAAGTTGGTATATGCTTTTAATAGAAGGCTATCAAAAGTCTTATTTAGTTAAAATAGCTGTTCTTTAGCTAGGTGTGGCGTTTTTGTCATCCCATCACTCAGTAGGCCAAGGCAGGAGGATTGACACAATTTCAAGGCCAGCTTGGGTGAGTTCAAGGCCTTGAACAGTGAGTTCAAGGCCCACCTGGACTACATTGTGAAACCCTGTCCTAAAAACCAAAAACCAAAACAAAGCAAAACAGCTATTCTTTATGATTGCTTAGTATGAAGCAAACTCGCTATTATTTTTTGGGACGGGGAGGAATATTGTCTACAACCACTGCCAGTAGTTTTCACAGTAAAATTATAGATACCACTGGATTTTCAAAACAGGATTTTTTTTTCTCAGCGATTGCCAAGAAATTAATTCTCACTAATAAGCATTTATATTATTAGTTTTTAGCTACTTCAACAAATGGCTCAGTAAAAAGACTAGCATACACTTAGTTTTAAATGTGTAATTATTTCTCTTGCATGGATCTGCAGACCTGGGAGTGCTGAGTTTAAGGACATCTCTTTTAACAGCTTCCCTTCAAACTTCACCCTTCAGAAAGGCTGTGCTTACTTCCTCCACCAACACCGGAGGAGGGTCTGCACTCTTCACCTACTCTGCAATTTTTTCATTAACTATGTCTATTGGTAATTTTAGGCATACATAAAGACCACAACTTTTTAATCTTTTGCCAGTTTGAGAGGCAAAAGATGAGAGTTCATCATTTTATGTGTATCTCCTTGAGTAAACATCTTTTTGGAGGCTTATAGGATATTTTTAGTTCTAGGATCATACAGCCATAAAAAGCAAAAGTGGAAACAAACCCAGGTTATCTGAACTCAGAGTTCAATTTCGTACACTACCTCTTAGAAGCTCCTTTCATAACTTCTAGATTTGGGATTTCATGTAAGAAAGTCTTCCCTCTCTAGATTACATTTTAAAAATTCTGCGTCGTCTTCTAAATTCTCATTCCTTCTGTATTTAAGTCTTTGATCCATGTGGAATTTGTTTCCTGTAGCTTCATTTTCCAAATGGAAAGCCTGCTATCCTAAGGCCATTTACTATAAAACTCACTTTTCCTCCACTTATCTGAACTGGCACAACTACTATATTTTCAAAAATATTACTTGTCACGCTAACTTGATCCTGTATTACTGCCAGGCTACTATTAGTTCTAGCATTTCCTCTATGACTGGGGATACAAAGGATTTTTCCTGACAATGAGCACTGCTGTAATTTGAAATGCATACTGGAGACAAGCTAATAAATGTGAACTGCGCTGGAATGGTAAAAGGGCTTTCTTTAGTGGACAAGATAATGTCCTTTCCTGGCAGGTTTTAGAAACACGCTATGGTTTTTATTCCTCTGATATGGGCTAAGGATCTGCTGTCTTGAATACAGCATGTTCTTCATTCAGTCAGGTTCAATTAACATTCATCTCCTAACTACCTAAGCACTGGGTCAAGGTCTAGTTCTTCCCTTTCAGCACGCTGGAGAGTTCAGATTAGATTAGTAACACTTCCTCAGAGGAGCCTCATAACCTTTTTTCTGACAGTGCTGACAGCTTGTGTTTAATACCATTCATCTGTTACATTATGCATCTATTTCTTTTTCTGAAGTTACCTACTTGTGCCCTTTTTTGTGTGATGTTCAAAATTCTGTTAGCAGTTCTCAACTTCAGCTGCTGATTAGACTTGCCTGGAACTTACACAAATATAGACACTGGCCCTCTGCAGAGAAACAGAACCACAATTGTGGGAGACAGGCAGTTTTGCAGAGCTCCTGGGTGATTCTGCTGTACAGCCACTGCTTGCATTTTCCATGGAATTTTTTTTTTTCCTCAGTGCTGAGCTCCAAACACAGGGTGGGGCTTGGGTACACTCTGGGTAAGCCCCTGATATGCATTACATGCTTGGTCCAGCATGAATCTTTTTTTTTTTTAATAATTGTTTTCTATTTATTGACATGACTGATTGCTACCCTAGACTCAGCAGTGTAGTTTTTCATCTGTTTAGATTTGTTGCTTTGGTCTTCCCCGAGGAAAGTCACCAGGAAACTGCTTATTCAATCTACTATCTTCACTAGACTCAGTGGCAGTCAGAAAAAGCCAAAGACTCCACGGGCTTCATGATCCTCTTCACCCTGAAGTGTATCACTGCCGCAGGGCCAACCCAGGAGGGCGGGTAGGAGTCTACAGAATACAGCCCTAGCCCTCACAGCACAGGCTTTTGAATGGAACATGCCACTGTCTCACTGCTAACCAAGAGCTATATAACTTAGTGACTCTAGAGTGTAAAATAAAGGAATAGTATGTCATAATATTTAGTTGCTGTCATCTATTTTTTTGTGTGTGTGTGCACTGACAATGTCCCACTATGTAGCTCAGGCTGGCCTTGAACTCTCTGTGTAGTTCGAACTGGGCTCAAATCTGCAATTCTCCTACTTCGGCCTCCCAAGTGCTGGGATTACAGGTGTGCACCACCACGCCCACCTTTGTATTTTTGTCTTCTTGTGGTTAAACTATAGCTGAAAGAAAGCTCGCTGGGACAGGCTTCAGCCTCAGAAACCTTAATATCTGTATGCACAGACTCAGTCTACTTCCAGAGGCCCATCCGTGAGTGCGAAGTGAATCTCTCATTCAGGTTGCTTATTTCTTGTAACTCAAGGCAGAGGCTACTGTAGTTATGGTAAAGAGTCGAATGATGCTTTTAAATTCTAGGTAAATTTTTTTAAAAGGGCAGGGAAAAGGTGAACATGACATTTTTTGCTATAAAAAGCAATAGCAAAAGTCTTCCAGGCAAGGTTTTTACAGCTGCATCTCACCGGCAGTGTAAGAGCAAAGCTTTGCTAGAAGCAATTAATTCATGTTTTAAGGATCCTTTCTCGTCTCTCATAGCACTTTATAAAACCACTCATTGCTAATGATATAAGGGGATTATAAAATTATCAATTATTGCCAGAGCAATCCATCAATAACTAAAATCTAATAATGACATACATGGAAAGAAATATTTTTCTAAAAATTTCTATCTTCCTCTATCTTCCTGCTTAATATTATATCCAGTTTTACTATGATACAAGAACATTTTATAGTATTACAATTTTAGAAGATTTTGAATTGTGACTGTACAAATCTTTAACCCTCACGAATACTAAACATCTTTATTTGCTTGTGCAATCAAGTAGCTCAATTACAGATACCCGAAATAATAATTATATGAAAAAGATGTTTATATGAGGAAGTCAGACAGTTTATAAAGATTTCTTTTAGCAAGAACCTAATTCAGTGCAATTAGGCCTTGATGGCGAGTGACGGGAATCTGGTACTAGAATGGAAGAAATCCTCACAGGTCTGCACAACAGGACACCAAATTGCTGCTGTGTTATAATCAGCACCAAAGTGCAAAAAGGAGAAAGATACCTTCCCCAGGACTGAACTCCTAGAAGATTGTGCGGTGTCTCTGAAAGACGTAGAAAGCTTGGAACGTTTGATGATAACATACAGCAATTAAAAATATTTTATTATTAAAGCATTCTACACAGAACATTTTAGCTATTTTACAGTATTATCACAGCATATTTTTTGTCAGCTGTAACCAGTTCTTGGTTATTAATAGTCTCTCTCCTGCCTGATACCCAGATTTTCTAAGGGGACTCAACATGCTCCTTTCCCATACTGAGGAACGTAACTAAGCAACGGACTGAGATCAGCTCCAGCCCTGGTCACAGCTCCAGGAACTCTTCCTGTTCTCTGAGTCAGAGTAGTTCGGTTGCAGCATCAAGCCCTGGGTGTGCCAACAGTCATCTTGAGAGGGGGACATCAGTCCAAGGATGACGCTGACAGTGGGGACGGAACGAAGCCAAGAGAGCCACAAGGAAGCACAGAGACAGCCAGCCTGGTTTCCCAACCGCTGCACTTTTCAGTTATCAGGGACAATGAATCTCCACTCCCTTCCTGGCAGCAGAAAGCATCTGGGCCAAGGAATCCGCCCCAGATGAAAAGCAGCGATTGAGCTAGCACTGTAACAGCCATAGAGAGGTTGAAAAGGTTTAAAATACAGAACCCCACGACAATGATGAATACTTTTGTGCTGGTTGTGTAGAAAGTGCTTAATAGAACCATTACAAAGAGTATCAATGTGCCTGAGTTAGTTTCCTACTGCTGCTATAACAAATTACCAGAAGCTTAAAGTAGCACACGACTCGTCCTCTTACAGTTCTGGAGATGCAAAGGCTACGATCAAAGTGTCTGCAGGGCTGTGCTCCTTCTGAAGGCTTCAGAGAATCTATTTTCTTGTCATCTCTAGCTTTCAGAGGCCACCTGAATTCCCTGGCTTATGGTCCCTTCCCTATCTTCCAAAAAACACCGCTCCACCAAGTGGCTCTGCCACACCTCCTTTCTTGACTTTCGACATCTTCAGTCTTTCTTGTAAGCCCCTTGTGATTACATCAAGCACACCCGGACCCAATCCATGGTAATCTCCAACTTCAAGCTTCTTAATTTAGCCACACCCGTACAGTTCCTTTTGCAAGGTAAGGCAACAAATTCACAGGTTCCAGGGGTTAGAATGCAGACTTCTCTGAGGGGCCTTTATTCTACCACATGGCCCTCCACTATCCACAGGAAAAGAACAGTAAAGGGCTTTCTTTTTATGCCCCTCTGTTTTAGGGAGCGTCACAACCTAATTTTAATAAACATGCTGGACAGGCAATATAAGGTGCTGGGCAGTTTACAGTTCTTTCCAAGGAGGCACAAAGCACCCACCGAGCTCCCAGCCTCTCTGGAAAGGCTCCGTGCCTTCCAATCTTTGGCGCCAGCACCAAGATGCTAGCAAAAATGTGTTGGGGATGCACTGGTAATTCAAACAAAGGCATCATCTCCAAGTTTCAAGGGGGTTATGCCTGTATTGGGCAAAGAGCTCTGGCCAGCTATTTGATTCTGGATGGCAAGTGACCTATCTG